GGCGACCTCGCGCGCTGCCGCCGCCACCGCCGCCGGGACTCTACTGCCTTCGGTGTCCCACTGGGTGTCCGACGCGACCGGACCGAGCGCCAAACGCATCGGGCCAATCGCCATCGCTTTTATTTGGCGCCCCAGTCCAATTAAGAGCCACTCTGATTGGCCGGATGCGAGAGGGCGCCCATCCAATCACAGGGCTCAGAGAGCTCAGAGGCTGTGGAGCAAGCCTCACGCCGGGAGAGCTCGGGGCTCGCGGGCGGCGGCGCGTGCGCGGGGGACTGGGCTCGCTCTGAGGGATGCGGCTTGCCTGTGTGGAAAGACTGCGGTCTCCATCTCTTTGTTCTTTCGCGGAACGTGCGGCAGCCTTCAGGAAAGTGGTGGCCAGGCAGGCAGGGACAGGGCACTGGGGACCGCGGGGTGGCGGGAACCGGCTGGAGGGCGGGGCGGCGCGCTTGAGGCTCTTGGCGGGAATCCGCGGGGATGGGTTCCCGGGCGGGGGAGGGGCCGGGCGGGCACTGGAGTCTAGTTTGAACCAGTTCAAAACTCGGGGGCGGGAACGGTTTTAACCGCCTAGCTCTTCTCCCGGCGCCTACGGCTAAGGCCGGCTGGTCTTGGAGGGCACTCCGGTTGGCGCCGACTGAGAGGATCGCGCGTGTCGGCCCTGTCAGGGCGCTCGGCGTGGCGCGCTCGAATGGCTTGGTCACTGGAAACCGCAGACCCGCTGGACTTTGGTGGCAGAGCTCGTGGCGACCTTACAGGGATTGCGGGCCTACCAACCCGTGTTCTCTAGTTTTAGGCACGTGCTACTTTAAAGTTGTGGATAAGGGCATTTGGCTTGCCCATTGTTGTCGCCTCTACAAAATGTGAGCGAGACTGATCATTAAATATGATATTGGGAGTCGGCTTGGCTCACCCCGAGGAATTAGAGATGTGCTCAAGATAGTCTCCCCTTTGCGTTATTTAGCAATGGAGTTAAGATATTTCGAATTTACTTTAAATGGGATGCATCTATTGGACAAAATGCCGCTGACCCATGAAAACAGATTGAGTACAGTCCAGGCTGAGAAAAGTCAAGTTTTTTAATGACTGATTTTTTTTTTTTTTTTTTTTTTTTTTTTTTTTTTTTTTTTTGGCAGGGGGGGGGGGCGCACACCTTTAATCCTAGTACCCGTCTGCCTCTGCCTCCCGATTGCTGGGATTAAAGGTGTGCGCCACCTCGTCCGGCTTAATAACTGATTTTTAACAACTGCCCAGAATCCACAGTCAGACTGATATTCTCATCTTTCCATCTAGTTCCTCATGTATACTGAACCATTTCAAACGTATGTCCAAATAAAAGCAAAATTACAAATAAGAAAAAATGATGTGACAGCAGCTAAGAGCACATACTGCACCTGCAGAGGACCCAGGTTGAAGTCCCAGCACCCACATCTGGTGGGTCACAACCACCTGTAGCTCTCGCGCCAGGGATTTGATGCCTCTGTAGTTCACATAATTGAAAATAATAAATCTTAGCCAGGCATGGTGGCACACACCTTTAACCCAGCATTGGAAGGTAGTTATCTCAATTCTGGGGAAGGCAGAGGCAGGTGTATCTCCGAAATGGAGGCCAGCCTGGTCTACATAGCTAGTTCTAAGCTAGCTGGGGCTACAGGGAGACCTCAAAAATAATAATAAAAAATTTCAACTGGCATACCTAACAACCACCAAACACCAGATACTCCAACAAACTACACTTGCTTTTTATATTTTTAGTAAGCAATTTAAACTTGAGATACCCCTATAATTGCTATACTGTTGCTAATTTTATCTGACCTTTAAGTATTAACATTTTTTTAGAGAAAATTTTTAGAAAAATATTTTAGAGGTTGTCAGAAAGCATAAGAGGAGCTTATTAAAAAATTCAACAGTGGGTTCATTTCCCAGCATCCACATGGCAGCTACGAACTGTCCTTAACTCCAGTTCCAGGGAAATCCTAAGCCCTCTTCTGACCTCCAAGGCATTGCACAACATGGGTGCACTCTACATGCAGGCAATGCACTCATACACATTCAAATAAAAATAATAAAAATTTTTTTTTTAATTCAACAGTGAGCCGGGCCCACGTGGATCTCTGAGTTGAAGGCTAGCCTTGTCTTCATAGCAAGTTCCAGGCCAGCTGGGGCTACAGAGGAACCTTATCTCAAAAAGACCCCCCCCAATAAAAAATTCAACAGTGAAATGAAAATTATTAAGGTGCATAGAACCAAGGAATGATGCCAAATCAATATTTACCTAAAAATATTCTGTAGGGACATTTTAACAAATTTTTGAAGAAAGCACAAGATGTAGATAGGTGGGGCAGCAAGAGTACTGGAAATAGATATGTACATCTACATAGACAATATAACGAGCTGAGCATTCTCATTAGGAAGCAAGCAGAGCACTAAGGAGTTCTATATTAAATATGTTGAGTTACACATATTTAAATGGAATGGCTAGGTTGGAACAGTAAAGAGGGTTTTGTGTGTGTGTGTGTGTATTCTATGTGTATGCATGTTGTGCCCACCTGAATGTAAGTGCACCCCTGTCATGCAGTGCCTGGTTAAGAGAGAAGAGGATGTCGGATACCCTGGAACTGGATTTATGTACAGTTGTTAGCTGCCAGGTAGGTGCTGGGATTCAAACCTGGGCCTTCTACAAGAACAATCAGTGTTCTTAACCACTGAGCCATCAATCCAGCCCTGGAACAGTAATGAGGAATACAAGTGAATCAACATTGCCTTAATTCAGTGATGACATTAACCAGTTAAGCATGACAGTTTAGGTTACAGTGATTGTCAGGAAAAAGGAATAACATTGCAAAGGGACTTCATTATATAGAAGACATATGATGTCTTACCACCAGCTTTTATAAAGTACAGGAAAATTGGGAGAAGGGGAATACTTTGGCTTTCCTGAGGGGTGGGGAATCTGAAGGTTCCCAGTATATGAGAAGAAAATACTACACAGGACTATCATACAAACTTTGGCAATCATTTCAGTGGGAAGGTATTTTTTTTAGCATACGCAAGGAATACCAAACTTATCAGTGTGTGTGTGTGTTAATGCTATCTTCTAAAGAGGCCTAAATGAAGCAGAAAGCTGAACAAAACAGAAGGATGAGAGTCACCAAGGCCTTTCAAGACTCTGCTGGTAAGTCATTCTGGCCTTTGTTAAAGGTGCAATATTATAGTTAAGGGTTAAAACCAAAAATGAGAGAGTTGGACACAGATGCTACTGCTCTCTCTGCTGTTGGACAGTTTAGCTTTGTTGACACCCTCGGTGTTTACTTGGGGTAAGGAGAAGGTAAAGTGCAGATTTAAAGATACTTGCAACACAGAACTTCTTTCAGCTCTTGAATGGGATTTCTTACATTTCAGCATTCAACTATTTATGGAGTGCTTACTCTATACATGGCATTTCTTGTGTATCTAACAGTGTGAACAAGAAGTAAATTTTGAGCCAAAAGATGTAGAAAGAGCAATAGAAAGCAGGAAACACCTTGGTCAGGAAAGTCCTCAGTTGCAAATGTAGCATTTGTAGTCTTTTGACATAAGGTTTTGCTACATTCACCAGGCTGGCCTTCAATTCCTGGACCTTTTCAGTCCTCCTGCCTCAATAACTGAGACTTACAATGGCATGTCACTGGGAAAGAGGAGAGGGGAACACTTGAGAATGTTCTATATTCTAGGTGAAGGTAAGGTAGGATAGAAAGATAGGAAAAATTAAAACAGATATGGGAAAAGAATCCCTAACCCCAGAATCTAGCTAAAGTCTCACCAGCTGAGAATTTTGGTGCAAATAACAGACTTTGCCATGAAGGTGGCTGTTTGGTTTTTGGTTGTTTGGTTTCTTGAAGACAGTGTCTCCCTGTAGCCCCAGCTCTCTTGGAACTCAGTATGTAGACCAGGCTCGCCTGGATCTCACAGAAATCTACCAGCCTCTGAGTCCTAAGATTAAAGGTATGTACCACAACGCCCAGCCCCTCAAAGATTGTTTGTAAAGAGATATTTCCAATAAGAATGTTAAAATAGTCAGGGTGTGGTGGCACATACCTTTAATCCCAGCACTCTAGAAGTAGAAGTAGGCAAATCTCTGTGAGATTGGTCTACATAGTGAGTACCAGACCAGCCAAATTTGTAAGACTGTCTCCAAAAAAAAAAGAAAAAAAAAATTTCCCATGTACTCATTACTTAGCTGCATTCTTGAGAAAACATCTAATTCACAAATCTGCTATGGAAAAAAAAAATGAGTATGCAAACTAAAAGCAGCATAAAGTCATAGCTGAGCACATACAGCAAGTGTGCTATTCCTAGGGATTCCATTGAGCTTATGACCTGTACTGTGAAAGCAAACAGCACAGGCTCTCCCCTCCTCACTGCTTGTCAAGGATGTCTGGTTGCTGTTTCTAAATCTAACTTGATCTTCTTCACAATGTAAAACTTCTTTCCCAACTGTACTAATCTAACAACATCCTTTTCTCTCCAGGCTTAAGGTTCTTCAACAAAGTCAGACGTTTGTCAACTGACCTGACATTTTAAAATGACAGTCACTTCATGGAAGCCACCAGTAAGTATACCAATTACTAGAAGTATGACAGAATGACACTACTTCTTCCTTAAACAGTAGATCTTCTTCACAAAGCACCTAACAGAAGTTGGAGCCAAAGCTGGGGTGATAGAACTGAGTTCCAGGGCTGGCACTACAGGGAGCTTGGCCTATCCAAAGTTAAGGGGACACCAATTCAGCCACATGGGTTGCTTATGACCACTGTCTATTCTGAGTAGTTGTACCCAGCCTTGTTCCCTATCAGTTATAAAAATAAGTTGAAACTAGGTCTAATGGTGCAGACCTGTAAATCTAAACTTGAGAAGGATGGAAAACTCAGGGCAAGCCTGGAATACTAAATGAGTTCACAGCCACCCTGGTCAAATTAGTAAATCCCTGTCTCAAAAACAATCTCTAAAGGTAGGCATTGTGGCGTACGCCTTTAGTCCCAGCACTCCAGAGAAGAGGAAGGTGGATCTCTGTGAGTTCAAGGCCAGCCTGGTCTACATAGCAAGTTCCAGGTCAGCTGGAGCTACAGGGAGACTCTGTCTCAAAAAGACCCAAAAAATAAATAAATAAAATCTTTAAAGGACTGGAGATAATAGCTCAGTGGTAGAGTTTCCTGCCTACTAAATACAAGCCCTCTAGGTTCAATACAAACAAATAAATAGAATGCCAAGCCAGCAAGATGGCTCAATGGGTAAAGAAAGCAGCTGCCGCCAAGTCTGATGACCCCTGGGACCCACATGGTTGACAGAGAGAACCAAGTTGTCCTCTGACCAAATGCAAGACCCCCCCCACACACACAAATTTTTAAAAAATACTGTTTTAATATGTGTATGAGTATTTGCCTGCATGTATGTGAGTGCATCCGTGTCATGCAATGCCATGGAGGTCAGAAGAGGGCTTTGGATTCCCCTAGAACTGGAGTTAAGGACATTTCTAGCCGCCGTGTGGGTGCTGGGAATCGAACCCAGGTCCTCTGCAAGAGCAGTCAGTGCTCTTAACCGCTGAGCCATCTCTCCAGCCCCCCACACACATTTTTTTAATGTAATTTTTTAGATCAGAATGTTATCCCTCCTAGAAGACTACCTTTCAATTCTCATTATCCTCCCCCTGAAATCATACCACCACTATTGGGTTTTTGTTTTTCTGTTTGTTTGGTTTTTGGTCTTTTTGACACAGGGTCCCCTGTAGTTCCAGCTGGCCTGGAATTTGCTATGTATACCAGGCTTGCCTTGAACTCACAAAGATCCGCCTGCCTCTGCCGGCCTGGCTTTTTTTGGTGTTTTTGAGACAGGATTTCCCAGTAGCCCCAGCTGACCTGGAACTCACTATGGAGACCAGGCTGGTCTTGAACTCATAGAGATTCACTGGCCTCTGCTTCCTGAGTGCTTGGGGATCAAAGGCATGTGCTACCAAGCCCAGGTCATGCCACTATTGTTAAAACCTGAAAAAGCAAATGGGGGTTAAGAACAATGGCAAACTGTCTTCATTCCATAGAAACAACAGGCTCCAGCTGGAGAGAGGCTCAGTCAGTTAAGTGCCTGTAGCACCAGCATGAGGATCTGAGTTGGGATCCCCAGAACCAAAGTAAAAAGCTGTGCACAGTGGCACAGGTGTAGCCCCAGTTGCAGCTCAGCACTGGGACAGGGGGAGACAGGTGCATTCCTGAAGTTTATTGATCAGCCAGCCTAGCCAAGTACAGTGAACTTGGGTTCAGCAAGAGGCTTTCTTGCAGATATAGAACAGTAACTATCTCTGGCGTGTATACACACACACACACACCAAGTAAAGAAAAACAATACCAGGCACCCTCTTAAAAGGTGAACACAACACAGTGTGGTCTTTTTAAAAGCATTGTCAACAGATTCTTTTTTTTTTTTTTTCTTTTCTTTTCTGTTTTTGAGACAGGGTTTCCCTGTTGCTCCAGCTGTCCTAGAACTTGCTATGTAGACCAGGCTGATGAACTCAGAGATCCGCCTGCCTCTGCCTCCCCAGTCCATTACTGGAATTAAAGGCATGTGCCACCACACCTAGCCATTGTCAGCATGTTCTAAGAATCCACTAAATATGATCAGTATGAAGAATTTTCCTGGTAGGAGAGAGAACCAGGTGCCTTTTTCCTAAGATACTTTATTTCTTAGCTTGGTCAGGTTCTGAGAACAGAGTCAGAACAATCTCAAGCTGAGCCTTGGTTAGCAAGGACTTGTTCTTCACATTGTATCATTGCCCTCATGTTCCTCCTCCTGTCAACTTGGCAGTGTGATCTTACAGTTCCTTTCACCCCACAATAAAATTTTATTTCCTCACACTATGGGATGCCCCACTTGGCCATTATAACTCAGAATGGCCAATGGCATGTAGGTTATAATACCTGCAAAGAGCCGGGCGTTGTAGCACACGCCTTTAATCCCAGCACCCAGGAGGCAGAGGCAGGTGGATCTCTGTGAGTTCAGGGCCAGCCTGGTCTTCATAGTGAGTTCCAGGACAGCTGGGGCTACAGGGAGACCCTGTCTCAAAAAGACCAAAAATAATAATAATAATAATACCAGCAAAGATTCGTGCATTTGAATTGATCCATTGTCCCTCTTGTACTGACAGCATTTATTGTTTACTTAATAGAAAATTCAGGGATAGTCCATATTGGGATTGGTTGCCAGCTTAATAATGCCACAGAGGACTAGGAGACCTTCAACCTGGTCTGCCATGGCATATGGTTTCTGAGTTCTGTTCTGCCTTTCAGTTTTAGTGATGTGGTGTGCCTGCTGGTTATTGATTCTCTTTTGTTTTTTCTTTCTTTTCATCTTACATATTGGCTTATCTTTCCCTTGCATGTCACTTCATGTTGCAAGATGGATGCTGTAGTTCCAAGAAATATATTGTGACTTCAAAACAAAGGGGAAAGGGAAGGGGCTGAGTCAGTCTCTACTTTTTTAGGTACTAAGAAAGGAGAAGTTCACAGAAGCTTCCCTACAGACCTCCAGCATCTCACTGGTGAGAAATACAGTACATATCCACAGACACTGCTAGCTGAAAGGGTAACTGGGAAATTGACTATTCAGCGAAAGAGAAGGAAGTTGTCATGACTGGCTTGAATATCATCAGGCCAGGGACACTGTTTTACCCTAAGCAAAATCAGGGTTCTGTAGGAGAAGCGTGACATATAAAAATGACATAATGAGGCTGGGCATGGTGGTGCATGCCTTTAATCCCAGCACTTGGGAGGCAGGGACAGGCGGATCTCTGTGAGTTCAAGGCCAGCCTGGTCTACATAGTGAGTTCCAGGACAGCTGGAGCTATAGGGAGACCCTGTCTCAAAAAGACCAAAAAAAAAAAAAAAAAAAAAAATGACATAATGAAACCCATTACTTTGCATGTTAACTTTAAAAACTTTACTTTAAAGAAGAGAGAGGAGTCTGGGGAAGCCAAGCATCTCTGCACATTGCCTTAGCTGACTTTAAATGCCATTTCCACTTAGTAGAAAAACAGAAAATATGGAATTGCGGTTTTTACCTTCTTGGGATAGCAGCCTGAACTTTGAGGAGCTGAATAAGCAGTGGGTTCCCGTTGCTGCGACAAAATACATGACAAATGCAAATTAAGGAAATTACAATTTCTTTTGTTGGTTTGAGAGTACAGAATATCATGGCAAGGAGGGGCCCTGTGTGACCGACCATATTCCTGAGGAGACGTGAACAAGCATCTACTCATCCCACATAGAAAACCTATAATAGACCATCGAAGTAAGGATACCACTAAAGTCTAGCTTGGTGAACCAATAACTTTTATTGGGGTTATTTAGCAGAAAAGACTCAAAGACAGCTGCATCATCAGACCTCACCCCAGCATGGGTGGTGACTCACAAAAGCTAAAAACCTGGAGCACACTGCACAACTTGCAGACAGTTCAGCAGGTTGGAGAGTATCTCTTTCAGGCAACTCAGGTGGTCTCTACTCTCAGGCAGCTCTGTTGGTCTCTCAGATTCCATAGGCTTTATGTGTTAGAAAGGAGGGGCCTAGTGAATCTAGTTAGTTTCAGAACTTCTCCAGAGCTTTTGAGTTGTTTACTTCTTGGGCTTAATAAGGTTCCTTGCAGGATAAAATGTTTCACCTCCCTTTAGAACATCTGTGTCTTAAGGAGCCTCCCTCCAAGACAAGTTTTATCTCAGAGGAAACTGCTGAACCACTTCTGGAAGCTCAAGCAGAGACACCCAGAAGTGTTGATTCTTGTTGATTCTAAATCCTTCAAATTGATGGAAGAGTACTGCAGTGCCCCACCCTTGAAATTCACAAATAAGATATTTCAGGCATGCCCAGAGCCCCTGAAGCCCATCCACGGATGACTGACCACATGAGGGAAAGCCTACTGAAAATCCACTCCAGCTTTCAGCCTGGTCCTGCACAACATAACGGCCTCTGGGTTCTACTTTGGCGTTCCGGTTTTAGTCATGTGGTATGTCTGCTGGTTACTCATTCTCTTCTCTGCAACAGAAGAACCTTGACAGAATCTAAAGAGAAATCACAAGAAAAATGGAGTTTTGACTATTTTCATACTTTCTGTTGAAGATAAAAACCAAACATTTGAAAACCAAATCCCTTTAAAAAAAATTTTTTTTGAGACAGGGTCTCCCTGTAGCCCAAGCTGGCCTAAAACTCACTATGTAGACCAGACTGGCCTCGAATTCACAAAGATCTGCCTGCCTCTGCCTCCCAAGCACTAAAACTAAAGATGTATACCTCCCTGCCTAACTCCTTTGTGACTTTTTTTTCCTTTTTTATAGAAATTTTGCATATTTCATACAAAATATTATATTTAGATCCCCTCCCCTATCTGCACCTCCTTACAATCTCCCACCCAATTTCCTCTGTGTGCGTGTGTCTGTTTGCCTAGAAAGTTAGATCTATGTCCTCAAATGCCCTTTGGGTGGGTTCATCCCCTGGAGCCTGGTCAACCTACCAAGAGTCTCACCCTTAAATGAGACTGACTCTTCCAGCAGCCATCAGTTGCCAATAGTTCCTCAGGTAGGATTGGGATTTCTTACCCACTTCCCTACATCTATGTGGAGATTTTATCTGGCTTGAGTTTATGTGGCACTTATGCATGTTCTCTCCTTTGCTGTGAATTTATATCAGTAACTACCCAGCTCTCTGGAAAATTCATGTTTCCTTGTGGGCATCCACCACCTCTGGCTCTTACAATCTTTTCGTCCCTTCTTAATGATCCCTGAACCTTAGGAGGCCCAAGTTTGATGGAAGTGTTCTATTCAGGGATAAGCAGTCTGCCTGCTGGCCAGTTGTGGTTCTTTATCTTAATCACCATCTCACACCCAGCTCTTTAAAAAAAATTAAGATTTATTTTTAGGCTCTCTGCTCCTTCCCATTCCAGAGACAACCACATCTTCCTGCAGTGAAAGCCTGATACCTGAGACATGATGAGGGTCAGAGTGAATGTATATTTACTGGGTGCCCAATCACCAGAGCTGACTTTAAATCTGGCAAAGCAGATATTGTTGCCATCAGTGACCCCTTTATTGATCTCAACTACATAATCTATATGTTTCAGTATGATTCCACCCATAACAAGTTCTACAGCATAGTCAAGGGTAGACAGATTTGTCCTAATTACTTTCTATTGTTGTGACCAAAACACCAAAACCAACTTGTGGGGAGGAAAGGGTTTATTTTATCTTACACCTCCCAGACTCATCAATGAGGTAAGTCAGGGCAGGAACTTGGAAGCAGGAGCTGAAGCACAGACCATGGAGGAGTGCTGCTCCTGCCTGGTTCTCAACCTGCTTTCTTATACAACCAAAGACCACCTGCCCAAGTGTAGCACCACACACAGTGGGCTGGGCCCTTCCACACATCATTCAATAATCAAAAAAATGCCCCATAGACAATGGCTAAAATCCAATCTAATATTGGGAGGCAATTCCTCAGTTGAGGTTTCCTCTACCCACACAAATGCATCACTGTTAAACCAGAATCTTTCAGTACTGGAGAGATGGCTCAGCTGTTTAAAGTACTGCCTGGGCTGGGTGTGGTGGCACACGCCTGTAGTCTCAGCACTTGGGAGACAGAGGCAGGCAGATCTCTGTGAGTTCAAGGACAACCAGGTTTACATAGTGAATTCCAGGCCAGCTGGGGCTACAGGGAGACCCTTGTTTCAAAATGGCCAAAAAAAGCTGCTCTTGCAGTGGGTCCAGGTTCAATTCCCAGCACCCACATGGTGGCTAACAGCCATCTGTAACTCCAGTTCCAAGGGTTCTGATGCCTTCTGACCTCTGCAGGCAATGCACGATATGGATGCACTTACATGCAGGCAATATACTCATGTACATAAAGATAATTTTTTAAAAAGTCTTTTTTTTGTCCCCAAGATATACAACTTTAAAGTACAACTTTAAAATTCCCACAACCTTTAAAAAATTTACACTTAGCTGGGTGTGATGGCACACGCCTTTAATCCCAGCACTCCGAGAGGCAGAGGCAGGCGGATCTCTGTGAGTTTAAGGCCAGCCTGGTCTACATAGTGAGTTCCAGGACAGCTGGGGCTACAGGGAGACCCTGTTTCAAAAAAAAAAAAATATTTAAAAAAATTTTAATTTTTTTTATTGAGTTTTTGTGCATTTCATATAATAGATCTTAATCAAATTTAGATTCATTCCCCCCATACCTACCCCCACAGGAGTTCATGCATTCTGTCATTTATCTTAAGTCTTTTGGGGTCAAGCATTGGTACCCAGATGTCCTTTGCTGTAAGTTTATCTACTGGAGTCTAATCAGCCTATCTAGAGTCTCTCCCTTAAAGAAGATCTACACTCCCTCACCCAGCATTAATCAGTTGTCAGTAGTTTCTAGGCTAGGATTGGGGCCTGCTGCCTATTTCCCTCATTCTATGCAGGCCTTTTGCCTGATTGAGTTGACATGGGTCTTCTGCATGCTGTCACCATTGTTGCAAGTTCCCAGTGGCCAGAAAGCCTCTGTTATGTTCATGCACCAACACTAGCTCTTAAAAACTTTCCACCCCTTCCACAGTGGTCCCGGAGCTGTGGGCAGATGAGGTTTAATACAGGAGTCCAGGGACATGCACTGTGCAATCTATTCTCTAAGATTTAGCCAGTTATATATAGCCTTTGTACGTTGCACTTTGTTGTATGAGGAAGCTTTGCTGGTGAGCATTGAGGGATGTATTAGTATTGAGTCTACCCCGTTCCCCTATGTTCCATGAGTCCTAGGCGTTGAGTTTCCAGTGTAGATGTGTCATTTATGGCTGGGCAAAGTTTCTTAAGGCTCTATGTGCTGACATGCCTTTAATCCCAGCACTCAGGAGGCAGAGGCAGACAGATCTCTGAGTTTGAGGCCAGCCTGGTCTATATAGCGAGTTCCAGGCCAGCTAGGGCTACAGGAAGAGCCAGTCTCAAGACCCACACACACACAAAAGCTCTTAGCTGTGGACTTCTGTCAAATCCAAAACAAGTTATATATTGACTTAAGAGAGAAGCACTGAGCACACTTAAGTAAAACCAAAGTCCAGCAGTGTAGCTCAGTGTTGGACATCTGGGATTCATGCATGATCTGGGCTCCAAAGGGGCTTCAGCAGCTCCACTTATCTGGCTCTGCCATCTATAGCACATACAGCTTATCTCATAGACCCAGGCCCGCTCCATTCAACATCTGCTGCTGCTCTTGGTGGTCGTCCTATGGTCCTGGCATCTTGAATATGCTGGGGTCTCATCTGAAACCAAGAATGCACCCTCATCAATGGACTCTCCTGGCCTCCTAGGGTGCAAAACCTCAGATTCTCTCCTTGACCCCCTTCAGTCCTGCAACTGAGTCTTTACTGGGTCTTTATTGGAACTGAGGCCATACCTTTACCAATGGCTTCTCATGGTGCAAAGCCTCAGCTGCTCTTTGTGACGTCTTCATGCCTTCAACACTAGTACCACCTAGGAGACTCTTACACGTTGCCAAGTTCTGCTGCCAGTTTGATGTGTAGCCTTGGCCACCTCTGGACCACAGTCTGTGTGCAGATCCTGAGGAACTACTTCCCAGAAGATTTCACCATAATGATTGCTGATCCTTTGTTACAGCTCATTTTTTAGCCTCAGCTGACCAGCATGGATTATCCCTGTAAAGCACAAGTTTCATTTCCAAAAATTCTTAGTTCAGGGGCTGCAGAGATGCTCAGCAGTTAAGAGCACTGACTGCTCTTGAAGAGGACCCTGGTTGGGTTCCTAGGACCCACATGGTGGCTAATCTTCTGTAACACTAATTCCAGGGGATCCAACACCCTCTTTTGACCATGGGCACTGGCATGACACAAGTGTACTTGCATGTGTGCAGGCAATACACTCACACACACAAAAAAATTTTAATGTATTTTTTAATATTCAAAATACCACACAAATAGCCCAGATAGAGTCTTTGCTTCCCCTTGCATGCAGCTTCACAAGCCAGGCCTTCATCATCTACACCTCTCTCAGCATTGTCTTCCAAGTTCCTACAGACAGCTCATCAGGCTCCAAGCACTTTTCCAGCCCAAAGCTCTAAAAACTTTCACAGTCCTCCCAGACACATATGGACAGGTCCATCACAGCAATATCCAACTCTCTTACCAATTTCTGTCCTAGTTTAGTTTCTGTTGCTGTGATAAAACACCAAAACCAACTTGGGGAAGAAAGGGTTTGTTTCACCTTCAATTTACAGTTGATCATGGAGGGAAGCCAAGGCAGGAGTTCAGGGCAGGAACCAAAATACAAACCATGAAGAAGTGCTGCTGACTGGCTTGCTCCTATGGCCTATGATCAGCTGCTTTCTTATTCAACCTAGGACTACCTGCCCAGGGCTCACACCTCCCACAGTGGGCTACCCTCCATCCCCATCACTCAACAATCAAGAAAATGCCTCACAGACCAGCTTATAAGCCAGTCTGATAGAGGAAATTCCCCAGATGGGGTTTGCTTTTCCCACGTATGTCAAGTTGACAGCTAAAGCTATCCAGTACAGAGATATTTATTATCTATAGAAAGGCCATTTCCATCTTTCCAAAGGGAGAGAACCAGGCCCACTTGAAGGGTGGAGCAAAAAGGGCCAGCATCTCTGCCTCTTGTACTGATACCCCCATGTTTGTGATGGGAGTGAGCCAGGAGAAGCATGTCAACTCAAGATCATCAGTAGTGCCACTTGCATCACCAACTGCTTAGCCCCTCCAGCCAAACTCATCCATGACAACTTAGGTATTATTGAGGGACTCATGATCACAATTATGCCACTGCTACCCAGAAGACTGGACAGCCCTTCTGGGAAACTAGAAATATGACCACGGGGCTTCCCAGAACATCATCTCTGCATCTGCTAGAAGTGCCAAAACTGTGGGCAAGGTCAGCCTAGAGCTAAATGGGACACTCACTGGCATGACCTACCCCCAATGTAGCTGTTGTGGATCTGACCTGCAACTAGGAGAAAACTCCCAAATATAATATCAAGAAGGTGATGGAGAGCCAGACTTGTGGCGTGGCACACACCTTTAATCCCAGCACTCAGGAGGCAGAGGCAGGTGGATCTCTGTGAGTTCCAGGCCAGCCTGGTCTACATAATGAGTTTCAGTTCATCCAGGGCTGCATAGTGAGACCCTGTCTCAAAAACAAAAGAAGATGGTGACGGTGGTAAAGACAAGGAGAGATGGCTTAGTGGTTAAAAGCACATAGTGCTCTTGCTAAGGACCTGCATTCATTTCCCACCTATGTTGAGTA